AGGTTGAGGTAATACGTGTAAAAATAAATGATTAGTTGTTTTTTTTTAAAGTGGCTAAAGATAAATTTCCAGGGCAGATGAACACATGATTATGGCCACTTGTCTAGGTAGAATGTTGCATCTATTTATTGTGATATTTGTAGGTAGGAACTCTAAGCAAGCTCTTTTTCGCCTTGGCTAGTTTGGTATATTTTGTGTATTTGTGTATGTGTGTGTGTATATGTATATATATATATATATTTTTTTTTTTCCTTTTCTCTTAAAGACCAGCCTTAACCCCAAATCACTCTCTCCAAAATACTCTGATTGGCCAATAGTAGTAGGTCTCAGGCCAAGTCTATCTTTCAGCTTCCCAAGTTTTATGAACTAGCTGCATTGGCTTCCTTGTTCCTCTCACCCACTAGTCTAACTCCTGTCTTGGTGCCTCTGGTCTGGCCTTCCTCCCTACCTGAAATGCACAAGCACAGCTCTCGTGCCACTCCTGCCACCAATTACTTTGTCTTTACTTTGTGTGTCTTTTCTATATACCGTGTTCTTGTTTTTCCCTTGATAAAATGTAAGCTCCTGTAGGGCAGGTACGGTGCTTATCGCAGACCTTGACACATAAGGAGAGCTTAATTCTTGCTAATTGGGGGCAGGGGTTGAGGTGAGAAGACTGAGCCAGCATTGCTGCTTGAGAAAGGAGGGAAAGTAATGTGGACTCTGGTAGACTGTTGCTCACAAGATTCTGGACTGGGTGGTATGGACAGATGGATGGATCCCCATTAGACTGGGAGCTTCTCCAAGTCAGGGACTGGCTTTTCCCTCTTTTTGTATCCTCAGCACTTAGTACAGTGCCTGGCACATAGATACTTCATTAATGTTAATTGACACCCTGACTGAGATGGAGTGAATCTTACAAGAGGAGAAACTGCTCAGGATGACAGCAAGAGGTGAAGGCTGGCAGTAGCAATGGAGAGAAAGGAGGAGGTTTATTCTTCCTCCTGGTCAAGTGTCTTGGAAAGCAGGAGAGCCCACAGACCCAGTACAGGAGATGGGAGCGAAGCACACTGGTATTTTCCAGATGGGCCATGTTTACAAGAAGATGACAGTACTGTAACAGGAAGAGACCAGGAGAAATTATAGAATGAGGTTCCAGGGGATAGGATGTGGGGAAGAGGGTGGGGCAAAGCTGGGTGGAGTTGAGTGGAAAAGAAGATTTTGCCCATGGCTGTCACTGCTTGTGTAAAGGACAGAGTTTATTAGCCATAGGACAAAAAAAGTAGCATTTGACTGGAGCTCCTGCCCTCCAGGGGCCTATGATACAGTACGAGACTGGACAACTTAGTTGGGACAAGTGTGGTGTTAATGAGTTATGGAGTTATGGTGCTGATAAGTGTTCATGGATTCCATTTCCATGTTCAGTACAGTCAAATTTATGTCAGTCACTGCTTTAGAAAAACATGCCTTTAGTTCCAAGGAGGATCTCTGAAGGGCTAGAGTGGATGGATCACTACAGGGGCGTGTCCATCACATGAAAAATAGCTCAAAAGTCTAGATTATCTTAATGGGGAAACCATTAAGCATTCATAGCATGAATGAGTGAAATTTTTATCTAAATAGGACTTCGTAATTTGTTTTTGTGTTTCATTTCTAGCTTGTAAAGTGATTGCTTTTTGAAAATCTGTTTTTAAATTATTGTCTTTCAGATTGGCTTGTGCACTTTTGAATGCTCTGTATAATTTCATCTAATTTGTTTTCATTCTTCTAATTTGTCCTTGTTTCTTGGTGGCCGTTTTACAGCAAGACTCACAGTCTTGCCATATCATATATGTGGTTGATTGATGAGAGTTTTTTTGTTGTTATTCAATCTTTACCATATGCCTCTTTCTATACCCTTTGCACCATGCCCCCTACCCCCCATCCTGGCAATTAATTCTAAGTCTGCTTCTTAACCATCTGCCAAATGATGCTTGTGTGGAGCATCTGGCTGCTTCTTCAAATCTTGCCAAGCATTCATTTCGACAGCATGGTTTTCCATCATTACTTTTAGGTTTCTGATTGGGCTTTCTGAATCTTGATAAGTACCTCTTTCATATGAAAGGCCACTATCTCTGGGCAGTTCTTTGCTCCTAGTCGATAGTTGAAAAAAATTTCTTGAATTTGTATGGTGAAATAAATTTTGACATGCTTTGTTGCATTTAAGTTTTATAATATTATTATAATATTTAAATGTAATGATATTTTAAGATTTTCATTACTCTGAAAACTGTAGAATTGTGGCAAGGCATCTTTTCTCATTTTTCATAGCATCGTTTTTACAGATTCATAAAATCAATAACAAAATTGGGGAAGAAATCTAGAGGTATTGACTGTATTCATTTATTTATTTTAGAATACTCTTCCTCTCATTTAATGGTAATAAATTCTAAGCTAAAAATATTTCCCAGAGATTGTTCCTTTGACTATTTTTCAGAAAATAGTTTAATTTCAAGATCTTTTCTGTTTTTCACCAACAGAAAATCTTAGGTTTCTCTATTTTTTGAATTTTTGTGTAATACTTGTTCAGTTTACTAATTAGTTTGGTAATCGTTTATGTACGGATTATAATCGGTAACAGTCATTTTGTAGTCTTAAATTAGATGCATTTTCAGATTTAAGGATCAAGGATCAGACTGAGGCTTCTGTTTCGTTTTGTTTTTTGATAACCATCCCTTTTACATAAATTCCTCCTTTATCAGGTTACGGTTGATCAAATGACTTAAATGGAATGTTGCCTAGAGATCTTTTGTTACATGCTTTTGAAATATTGACGAATGCCCTCATCTGCCTTTATGTAAATAGTGCCAAGGCATATGATTTTCTGTTCTTTGGAGAATGGTAGAAGGTCCCCAAGTAATTCACATTTACTTAGCATTCTGGTAAATAAATACCTGTCTCAGGGATGGGGGACAGGAATTGATTTTGTTAAGTGAAAAAAGGGATTTCTAAATCACCTATTGAAAGTAAATACTTCAAGTTTCCTTGAGTGAGTTCTTGTTCTATTTGCCTTTAATGAGAAATGAATTGAATATCTTGATGACAAAATTCCCAGTTGTGTCACTTCATCTATCTCTGTTTGGACTTTTAGTTTCTCAATTAGATAAAACCCATCAATGTAATGCCAAGAAAGGTAGTGTTTCAGAATAACCGTTAAGAATATTCTAGGTTGGTCTCCTCTGAAGGAGCATTTTCAGTGGGTAAACATTCTAGTGGGGGGCAATGATGACCCAGGAGAAGAGGACTGCTGTTGGAGTATGTTTACGGGGGTAGGTAGACTTTTCTTCCTAGGAAGGCTTGTGGTTATCAAGTGCTATGAAAATCCCTAGCCCATCGTTGGCTTCCTGCTCTCTGGCCTTGCTAGTGAGAGGAAGACCCTTTTGCTACTTTGAAGTTGCCTCTGGAATAGGTGGTACAGTGGGTAGAGCACCAGGCCTGGATTCAGGAGGACTTGAGTTCAAATCTGGCCTCAGATATTTACTGGCTGTGTGACCCTGGGCAAATCATTTGCCTGCTATTTACCACAGTTTCCTTATCTGTTAAATGACCTGGAGAAGGAAGTGGCAACCCACTCATGTATCTTTGCCAGGAAAGCCCCAAATGGAGTCAAGAAGAGTTGTACATGACTGAAACACATGAACAACCAGACTGAATTAGCCTATTTGTGTCTTTGATAGTAGAAGAACTGACATAACCAATGTGCTGCTTATTCTCCCTAAAGTATAGAAAAGCTAAAATTTTCTTAGAGTTCAGGCTTAAGTTTTACTCTACAAAACATTCTGAGTGAGTTATATTCACAAGCTGGAGTCCTAACTTTTATGCTTGCAAAAATATCAGAAACGGACTTAACATGAATTATAGCAGTAGTATCTTTCCAGTTAAAATATAATAGAACTTGCAAATCCGCATGTTATATACAACTTTTAATCATCTTTTCTCATTTTAGGCACCTAACTGAGCAGAAAAGTTAACTGCTGATGGCATTTAGATGATTTTTAATAGTCAGCTGATTTAGGTCAGTATTGACAGTGGAAATAACATGGTGACAAGATGAATTAAAATGTAATTTTGCTTTGTTTTTAGACGCTACCAGAAACATCTCTATCAGAGTATGCTGAAAATTTAAAAGATAAGAGTACTTTGGTTTCATCTTTATATAAAGTTATCCAGGAGCCGCAAAGTGATGTAAGTAATTTGTCCTCTTGAGAACTTGTGACATCAGCACTGATGGGTTTTGGGGTCAAATTGAAATCTGATTCTGCTGAGAAGTTAGTAGTTGACTTTGCTTTGCTTCATTCCCTTCCCTGTCTTCTTCTCCTGTCCCAAAACAGAGCAGTTCCTTTAGGGCAGGGCTTGGAGCTCAGTGCTGGTTACACAGTAGGTGCTTAATGAATGCTTGACAATCAGGTGCTTTGGTTTGACTCTGACTTGTGTCTTCTTTCCCGACGTCACAGCCAACCCCAGTTGAGTTGGGTCACATCATTAGTTTGCCTTAGTTTGATCTTTGCTAACCCCTGCTGTCTGCAGTGGAACCCAAAGCCTTTGAACTTGCTGGACTGAGGCAGGTGCAAAGCCCTGTCTGATCAGACCCCTGCAAGACATCTCTCATCTATCCCCTTCCCTTTGTTTCCATCCCAGTGTTTAATTTGGACTTTGATTACCTCTCACCTAAGTGAATACTATAAACCTGGGAGTCATCTGCATCTGCTAAGCACTTTACCATTGTTATCTCCTTTGAGCCGTATGACAACCTGGGAGGTAGGTGCTCTTATTATCCCCATTTTACAGATGAGGAAACTGAGGCAAACAGAACTTAAGTGATTTGCCCAGAGTCACACAGTTGGAAAGTGTCTGAGGCTAGATTTGAACTCAGGGCTTCCTGACTCCAGGCCCAGCTCTATTTACTTAGCCACCTAGTTCTGTCTTTTGGGATATAGTCAGTTTCATAAAAAGTACATTTTTGTATTCATTTTAATATTACAGATCTAGAGCTGAACAGGAACTCAGAGGCCATTTAGTTTTCTCTTCGCATTTTACAGATGAAGAAATAGGGGTCTGCAAGTGGGGAGGGGCTGGCCCAAGGTCACAGAGAGAGATTTGAACCTAGGTCCTCTGATTCCAGAGCTAGGGCGCTCCACTTCCCGTGCTGCCACTGTCATACTCCATGCCGACAGAACGCTCTAATATTCCCTGGTAATGAAGAATACAATTCATCTGACTAGACCAAAGCAATGACCACACCTGGTGTTTTCTTGTTCTTTTGTTGGGTATTGTTTGGATCTCTGCTGCTTTCCGACTTTTCTTATCCACTGTCCTGCCCAGACTCCCCTGAAGATATTCATAAAGTGTTGGCATGAGCTGTCTAGATGGACTCTAAGCTTTTATGATTCAATGCCCTTGGTTATTTTCCAACATTTTTTTAGACAGCTCCCCTTGTATCTGCCTCAGAATTGAAGTCCCCCTGAGTATCAGGATATATGTGGACTTAGTCTGGAGAATCTTGTTAAGTTCTTTGTAGAGTTTCATTCTCTGCAACCAGTGTTGGTACTTAAGTCACAGACTTGTTCGTGGCTGTCTTGGTGCTTATCATTACTGTGAATGTAGAAGAGGTAAGATCACCAAGCATTCCGTTAAGTGTTTTTTGTTGCCTTTGACCATATGGTAAAATCGCCTTTGTGAACTTTTTTATCCTCCTCCCCAGTCAGAGGTTTTGGGAAGCCCCAGTACAAGTGGAAAGGGCTCTGGAGTTGGGCAAGTCACTTGGCCTCCCAGGGCCTCCAGTTCCTCATCTAAACAATGAAGGGATTTGACTAGAGGAGCTCTGGACTAGACTTGACCCTTTTGGCTCTGTATGTCTAACCCTCGGATCCTTTTCTCTCTCTAAGACTCCCATGCTGCCTGAAACTCTCCTGGTAGTCATTCTCTTTGGCCCCAACTTCTTTATATCTTTTGGTTTAATTTATAAGGAAAACATCAACATGCACAGTTTAGCTCTTGAGTAGTATATAAAGTCATTAGACTTGTTAAAATCTAAAGTCTAAAGACACGTTAAAAGTGCCAGTAGTTAAATTAATGCTCTTTCTTGTCCCTGCTGTCACTGCAGAAGGGGCTCGTAGCTGGGCTGTGTCGTAGTTTCCCTGCTTCTTTCAATATTCAGTTCAAATCCACTCTTTGGCGGGAAGCCTTCCCCCAGTTGCCGGGGCCTTCTCCTCTCAGATTTCCTTCCAACTGCTCTCTAAGTATCTTGAATGTACCTATGTATTTGCATGCTAGCCGCCCCCCCCCCCCATTTGAATGTAAGCTTCTTGAGGGCAGGGACTTTTTGGCCTCTTTTTATACCCTCATGGTTAGCACAGTGCTGAGCACATAGCAAACACTTATCGAGTTGTTGTTCACTGACTGACTAACTAACTTAGGATGGATCGACTGGGCTTGTGCCACCATTAGCAGTGACTTTATTCTGAGCTGCTTGTGTCTCTAAGCTGACTCTGACAGGTAAGTGCCTTGGTAAGGCTTGTGAACTTAGAGTTTCAGGATTGCCAACCCACAGGATATCCAAGAACTGGGGGGCCCAGTGCATTCTTGGAGCTGCTCCCCTTCAGCCTGCACTCCTTGGGGCTTGGGTATTTTCATGGGCTTAAGAGAATAATTTTTGGGCTTTATGATCTTAGTTTTGTTTTGTTTCGGTTTTTTTTGGTGGGGAGTGTTGGTCACTTTCCTACAGAAAAAAGGGAAAAGACGTGGAGGCCTGGCCTTTGATTTCAGCTTGAAAATTCCACAAGTTCTGTTTCCAAATGTCAACCTTTTTCTTGTAGCGCATTGCTCAAGCAGGGGAAAGCCTTTGTTCAGTAATGATGCCTGTTAACTCTGATCCTGTCTGAGTGCACTCCCTTCTCTCCCCAGTTGCTCGAACCCGTGTGTCACCAGCTCTTTGAGTTCTACAGAAGTGGAGAAAAAAAGCTGCTGCTCTTCACACTGCAGTTTCTCCCAGAACTGATGTGGTGCTACCTGACCGTGTCTGCCACCTGGAAGCAGCACAGCACGGGCTGCATTGAAGCTCTTCTTTTAGGCGTTTACAACTTGGTTTGTATGAAGTTAATGGCCCTCGTCCAGAGTGTGCCGGGGAGATCGCCACTCTCCAGTGGCTCGTTTTTTTCCTCTTTGAGCTTATTGTTCATCTTTTCTTTCTTTTTCTGAGACTAGCTTTATTTAAATGAACACAGATGCAGGCTTTCTTTTATTTTACTTTCTCAGATGTCATATGTTAATGTTATAATGCTATATATAAAATAATATATTATAATGTTATAATGTTATAATATAATTAATAATGCTATATATAATATATTATAGTGTTATAATGTTATAATGTTATAATATAATAATGCTATATATATAATAATATATTATAATGTTATAGTGTAAGCCATTGGGTTGATTGGAAGGTAAAAGAAGAAGAGTTTGTATTGGCCCTCAGTTCCCTTTGCTTCCGCAGGGAGAGATGCGGCAGCGGTGAAGTGTCCAGAGAGTGCCAAGAATCACTGCTGACTGATGGTCTCAAAACGTGAACTTCACTGTACTTAAACTAAATGTGAACTCGATCTTCCACCAGACTGACCCTGCTGTTCCTCACCCACGGATAGCGCTCTGTGCCTTGGTGACACGTCTTCCTCACCCCTGCTGCTTAGACCACCTCGCCTCCTCTGAGGCATGGCAGGAGATTGAGGAGGAGACTGAGAAGCAATATATCGATCTGGGAGTCGTCTGTATAGAGATAAACCCTTGACGTTACCAAAAGAAAGAAGAGAGAGGGGGAAGAAAAGAGTGCCTAGGCCAGAGCCCTGGGGAACGCTCACAGAGGGGCACACCATATAGGATGAGGCACCAAAGAAGACTGAGAAGGAGCTGGTGTGCTGGGAGGAGAACCAGGAGAAAGGAGGGTTCCAAAAACCCAGAAAGGAGAGAATGCGTAGGAAGAAAATGGAGTTTGTTCAGATAGGTCAAGAAGGACAAGGCTAAGAAAGGATTGTCAAGCCTCCAAGTAAGAAGTCATGGTTAACTTGGCAAGAGCAGTTCTAGTTGAGTGATTAAGCCTGAAGGGAGAAGCAGAGGGTTGAAAAGCAAGTGAAAGAAAGTGGACGTTGCAAATGTAAACAGCTTTTTCCGGGGGTATGGCTGAGAACAAGGAGAGTCTGCCAGTGTGTGGTAGTGGCGGGGCCTAGAGCAGGAGGAACCCCTAGCCAGGGAGAAGTCGGTCCACATGGCTGCCAAAGTGATGATCCTCAAGCCGCAGGTCTGGCCACTGTGACTTTGTCCTGCTCAGTAACTCCAGGATAAAATGTCAACCCCACTACTTGTCACTTAAAGTCCTTCTCGATCTAGTTCTAGATTATGCAGTTAAATGATGCCACAGTGCACAAAGTGCTGGGCCAGGAGTCAGGAAGAGCTGAGTTCCAATGTGGCCTCAGACACTTAATAGCTGTGTGACCCCGGGCAAGTCACTTAGCTCTGTTTGCCTCAGTTTCCTCATCTGTAAAATGAGCTGCATGACAAAATAGCAGACCACTCCAGTATCTTTGCTCAGAAAACTCCAGATGGGGTCATGAAGAGTCACACACGACTGAAATGACTGAACAGCAGTAACAAAATGCACAATAGGAGGTTATCTTTGCTCTTAGCGGTAATAGGGAGCCGTTGGAATTTGTTGAAGAGGGAATTGACATGGTGAGATGTGTTCTTTAGAAAAATCACCTTGGTGCCTGTGTGAAGGCTGGATTGGAGTGAGGAAAGATGAGGTAGGGAAATCACAATAGGAGGTGCTTGTAATAGTGAGTGAGAGGTGATGCTGTGAGAGTAAAGAGAAGAGGATGGATGCACAGTGCCTGGCACATAGTAGGCACTATATAAATGCTAGCTATAATAACCATAACAATTATTATTATGGCGTTGTCATCATCATCATCATGAAAGTAACATGATTTGGCCGTCTATTAGATAGCTGAGGTGATGGAGAATGAGGAGCTGAGGATAACACTGAGAGTGCAAACCAAGGAAACCAGAAGAAGGGCCCTTGATGGAAAGAGGGGAGTTCAAAAGAGGCCTGGGTTTAGGGGAAAGAGAACGAGCTCGATTTTAGGCATACTGAGTTTGAGATGTTTGTGAGGAATCTTATTTGAAATGTGCTGCAGGCAGATTGTGATGTGGGATTCAAGCTGAGGAGGGAGACTGGCAGCAGTTACACAGGTCTGGGAGTCATCTCAGCTGAGGTGGTCAGAGTCAATGGGGACGGAGGGAATGAGCAACCAAGAGAGGAGAGAAAGAAGAGAGCTCAGACCAGAGCCTTGGACAGCACCAACGCTTCCACTGTTTGGTATAGGCAAGAGCCAGTAAAAGAAATGAGAAAAGAGTGGTCAGCTGGAAGAGGACCAGGAAATGGTTTCACAACAGACCAGTCAAGCCAACAAGCATTTATTAAGTACTTATTATATGCCAGGAACTCCACTCAGTGTGGGAGTAAACAGAAAGGCAAAAACAATCCCTGTCTCCAAGGAGCTCCCTTTCTAATGTGAGAGAAACTTGCAAACAACTCTGTGCATATGTGATGCACGGGGTAATTTGGAGGTCATCTTAGGAGGAGGGGACTGGCATTGGTGGGGACCAAGAAGACCAGAAGGTCAAGGCAAGGAGGGAGAATATTCTAGGCATGAGGGACAGACAGTGAAAAGGTGTAGAGAAGAGAAATGATGCAGAAGGAGTGACCAGCTAAGGGTTCAAGAAGGATGCAGACTGAGAAAGGACCATCTACTCTGGCAGCTGAGGGATGTGGTTAGAAGTTAGATGGAAAAGTACAAGGAGTGAGGGAGAAAGGATGGAAGTGGCAGTAAGAGGAGAAACAGGAGAGGAGAAATAGAAAATGGGGAGCTGGGGGGGATGGCAGAACCCATGGCTGAAGATTTAGAAATATCTATTTGTAGGCAGCAGGGAAGAACATAAGCGTGTGGTGAGAGACTAAAGATTAGAGAGGATTAGAGAGGCAAAATGGAGGGGAGGGCATGGGGGGGCTTGTCAAGGAGAAAGACGTTATTGGAGACTGGAGTAAAGTAGAGAGAAGGGGGGTGATAGCAAGAGTTTCTGAGATAAAAGGGCAGAAGAAGGGAGCTCACCATGAATCATCTTTACTTTTTCAGCATAGTCAAGGTCCTCAGATTATAGGTTGAAGAAGAGGGTGTGCAGGAGGTTTGAGGGGAGAATTAAAGGTTTGGGAAGAGTAAAAGGACTGCCTTGCTTTTGTGGGGAGGACCCAGGGGAGCGTGTCAAGTGAAGTTAGTGTTAGAGCCAGCCAGTTAGTTCCACTGTGACTTCTTCAGCTCTGTTCAGCAGCACGGGAGTAGGCGTAAAGGAGGCAGATGGGGGTGGAATCCAAGACTGAGGTTTGTCAAGGGGTGAGCGGTGATAGGACAAGGGGATGAGGAATTTGAGAGCAGAAGACAGATAGTTGAATAGGTTAACTCTAGAGTCAAGATTGGGAAGGGAGGAGAGTGAAGGTAGAGAAGGAGTGATGACCTGAGGAAAATCTCTGAAGTTGAAAGGCTTGGGACCATGACGAGGACGCAGAGAGGTGAGACGCAGGGAGAAGTGGGTGGTCAGAGGCCATGATAAGTTTGAGGGACGACAGAGCTTTTGGCTGTGACAGAGAAACATTTGTAAGTGATGGCCAGGGGTAAGGTGTGACTGTCCCTGTGCGTGACTCTGGTGGAATTGAAGAGGAGGTCGTGGGCTTTAGGGTATTGACATAAGCATCAATACTTAGCTAAGTTGAAGCGTTCTATTATGATGACAGGAGTTGGGCCCTAAAGGAAGACAGTGAGCCTGGACTTTGCTAGACTTCAACTCAGTATGAATCAGTAGTGTCACGGGGTGGCCAGAAAAGCAAAAGTTATCATGGGCTGCCTTGAGAGGCTTCCCTTCAGAGACTGGCCTAAGGAGAGCATGGGCCAGATAGCTGCTGCAGCGTCATGCCTTCCACATCTGTGTGCCACGTTTGAGGAATGTCAGTGATAAGCTAAAAAGAAAGTTTAGAGGAGGGTGACCACAGCATGGAAATGAACCTTGAGTTTTTGCCAAATGATGATCATTCAAAGGAACTGGGGATGTCTGGCATGGAGAAGCCAGGTTTGCCACGATGCCTCGCTTTAAGCGCTTGAAGTCCTGGCGCCTAGAAGAGGCTTTAAACCCGTTCGGCTTGTCTTTAGACACAGAACTCGAGCAGCGTGGCTGGAGAGGCCAGCTGAGGCTGTTGGTGAGTTACCCCAAATTGGATCAGGCTGCTGGTCTTCAAGCAACTCATTGGGTTTGTTGTGTGGAGGTCCCTTCTACCTGTAATATTTCTGTGATTCCAGCACATTGGAGACATCCTCTGTGGAGATGGATTAGATGACACGGATGGAGACTGTGCAATCTGCATCATTAGAGGGAATGGCCACATCAGTGACACCACTCATTCTTTCAAGTATTAAAGGATTATAGGACGACTGAACATTTCCATCTATGAAGCCTCTGGCTTTCCAATATGATTTTTATGTCTTTACCTTTTTTTGTCCATGAATAAAGTATTCTGCAGATCCATGGATTGTGGGCATTTGAGAGCCTTTCTAGGGCAGTGAATATATATGAAGTCTTTACATCCTGGGCCACACTTTCCCAGATTCATTAATATCTAGGCTACTTCTGAATTTTGCATGAACTATTTGAACAGATTAAACTTTACCTGGTAGCATGTTTTCCTTTTGTGTTTTCAGTTTTCTGCAGGTATGTAATTTGTAAGGGAATTAAGAAAGCTTCCAATCTATCTCCTTCCTTTAAAGGAGTGCAGATTATTGCTACTCTTCAAGGCATGTGATTAGCTTGTCAAGTTTCTATAACATGTTCTTTAACTACTTTATTTTAGTTGATTTAGGGGGAAAAACAACTTTAAACATGTTACATGTATTAAATCAGGAAATTTAAGTTTTTGAAATGCAATGCATATTTTAGTTAAATCCAACAAATTGAGTGATTGTTTCTGATACTTGAAGAACACATGTATATACATGCAAGTTCCTAATGGCTCTATTTCTCTGGTTTAATGAGTGGAAGGGCCTTTTAAGTTTTTAGAGAGTTGTGGTTATTTAGGCCAAGAATGTAGAGATTCTATGTGTCTGCGTATGTGTATTTGTCTTATAGACTTTAATTTACATGTCAGTTTATTCTCTTCTTTTTTTTTTTCTGTAGGAAATAGTTGACAAACAGGGACATAACAAAGTGTTGAGTTTTACAATCCCATCTTTATCTAAGCCATCAATATATCATGAAGTAAGTGGCATTGATCAAAGTGAATGTAGGGGACCTGGCCTAGTAGGTTTTTCATTCCACTGATGTTTCTTGGTGGGCGGGAAGGGGATGGGGCAGAAAAGAGGAACTCACCAGAGTCAACACGAGAGGAATGCGTTTGTGTTGGTGCTCTGCCCCGAATGAAGTGCTCCCCCCCGAATGAAGTGCTCCCCGAGTGTAGCTGTCCTTTCTTACTGTGTCTCCTGCCCCCATTCTGTCATCGCCTCGATGCCTAATTAATCTGTATAGTGCAGATATAACAGATACAAATAACGTGCTCCTGTCACTCTGCTGCTCACAAATGTACGATGGTTTCTGTCCAGAGGCGTTGACTTAGCCCAGCACTTAAGGCTGAATGTCATATTGTTCTAATTGGCCACGTGTTCCCCAAACATGTCCTCCCCCTCAACCAAACCAGACTACTTACCACTCCACGAATAGGTCATGTATTTTTTGGCCTCTGTGCTTTTGATCTCACCATCCTTTATGCTTAGAATTTTCATTCCACCGTCCTGGACTATTGAAAGCCAATCTACCTGTCGTGACCCAGGTGCAGTGCAGTCTCCATAAAGCCTTCTCTTGTTCCTTTCTCTCTTCTCTCTCCAACTGGAAGTCATCTCTTTCCATCTTTCAAAAGTTTGAGGAAGCAACGAAGGAAAATTCTATTTTGGATCTGATTCTCATCAGTCAGGAGGGATTACTTTCTGGTGGTAGAAATGATGGGAACCCTGGAAGAAAATGACCACTCCTTCTTAGAACTTTTAATGGAGTAGGAAAGGAAATTTGAGAATACAGTGACATACACCCTGAATTTTAGGAAGGTGGATCTCAAAGTGTTCAGGATGCCTAGAATGCCGTGGTCTAAAATTCTATGGAGAAAGTCAATGTAGGATGAATGGGAAGTTCTCAAGAATTAATTCTGAAGACCTCAAAAAAAGAAACAGTTCCACTGAGAAAGACAAGATGAAGTTAGTTATCTAAAGGGACTAATTTGAGTTCACAGAGAACTAAACAACCAACTTAGATTTTAAAGAGATGTACAGCATAGTCCTAGATGAACTTCCTCAGGAGTCAAAGGGCAGAATGAGCTGATGTTGGGGAGGAAAGCTAAGCATACAAAACAACAACAGTAACCAGCAGCAGCAGCAGCAGCAGCACCACCACCCTATATTGGAAAAATAAGTAGCATCCAAAAAGAGATAGAGCAGATAAAACAGTGATCACCAGTGACAGAGAGGAAACTGAGGACTCCTTGACTCTTTGCTACTGCTGTCTGCCAGTGGAAAGATGGGGAAGAATGACCATTAGCGAGTTGCCATCAAGATAAGGAGATAACTAGGACCTGTCTTCCCTTAATGAGGTCAAATCTTCTAGGCCATCTTAGCCCACCCAAGAACTGGCAGATGTGATTATTGAATTTCTGTCAGGGATATTTGGAAGATCATGGGGAACTGGAGGGAGACTGCAGAATTAGAAAAGGGCGAATACTGTCCCTTTGCAAGTTGGAACCTTGGTCTTCCAATTTTGAGGCATCCTCTTGTTCCCCATGAGCTTTCAGACACCACCGATAATAGCATTGATTTTAATTCCTTGCAGAATTCTACAGCAAGCTATTAAAAGATTGTCAGGGAACATCTCGAAAGGGAAGTGTCTCCATAAAGGGCCAATGGGATTTCTTGAACAACAGATCTCAATAACTTACATTGGTGGGTCAGAAGACCATAGACAGAGCTGGCTCACATTTTTACAGAGGGCTTTAAAGTCCTACTTTATGATGCTAACCTGGAAAACATGAAAAAATGTGGGTGAGATGATAGTACATTTCGATGGATTTCGATGAGTTTTGAATGACTGGACCCTACGAAGAGTCATTAATGGTTAATCAGTATAATGTGCAGGAGTCCACTGGTCTTCAGTAGAATGCCTCAGACATCCATACTCGGCATTTTTATCACATGGGTGTCGCACTTCTCCGATTCACAGATGAGCAAAAGCTTAGAAGAAGAATAGCTCACACACTAGATGACAGGATTCAAAACCTTTTGATAGATTAGAAACTTTGAGCCAAATCTGTTAAGATGAAATTGAGTAGGAATCAGTGTGAAAATCTTTTACTTGCATTCAAAACAATTAATTTCCCAAGAACAAGGTGAAGAAGATGTAGCTGTGTAGTAGTTGGTTCCACTTGACCCTAGAAGACAGAACTGGTCCTAATGAGTGGTGATCCAAAGGGACAAATTGAGGGTTGGCAGAGGGGAAAACTTCCTAACAATTACAACCACCTGAAAGTGGAATGGACTGCCTTGGGAGGCAGGGGCTCCCCTCTCCAGAGGTCTTTATGCAAAGACTGGATGATCGTCTGCCAGGTATGCTGCAGAGGGAATCTTTGGTCACCTCCTGGATGTCCCCTGTGGTCCCTTCCAGCCATAAGGGCCTGTCATTCTGTGATTCTCTCCTCTCACATCCCTAGTCGTGAAACTTGCCATGTTAGGTGTTGTGCATGTGTCCTGTCCTTTTAGTAGATTAGAAACTTCCTGAGGCCAGCTACAGTTTCTTAGTTTTGTGTCTCCCTCAGCATCTAACAATAGGAACTTAATAAATGTGGCATTATCCTCAGAGGCTGCATGGTGGAAGGGATTAGGAGCTGACCTCAGAGATAGGAAGGCCTTGCTTCAAATCCTGCCTTGTACCCATACTGATGGATGAAGTCACTTTGCTTCAGGTTCTAAGGCTCTAACTTTCAGAGAAGGTGCTGACCTGCCTTGGCAGAGTGGACCCTTCCCCAGGAGCCTCTCTGGCTCTGGCAGGATGAAATTGGAAAGTTGATGGTGGCAAGTTTGTTTTGAAAAAACTTAGTTTGCATATTTTCTCTCCCCACTCCCCAATATATTTTTTTTTGTTGCAATTCTGTATACCATTATACAGGAATTTTAAAAAACAGGAATCTTGTTGCCTTTTTTTTTCATTTTTTTTCTCATACCATAATCACATCCTAAAATACCTCCTCTAACAGAAGTAAATGCCCTTCCTTAAAAATACACCTACCAAAAAAACCCAAGCCACCAACTCAGACCCGGCAGACCTCACAATTGTGCCTGGCAGAGGCAGCAGCTGACCCCGCCTTGGGAGGCATCCCCTCCGTCCCTCCAACATCAGGCATTACATGTGATTGGAATTTGGTTCATCTTAATTCTTGTCCTCATTTACATTATTGTTGACATTTTCTGACCTGCTGTGGTTCTGCTTTTTTCTCCCTTCCTTAGTTCATATAAATTTTCCTGTGTTTTCTGTGAACTCATATTAATAATTACTAGTGGCATATTCCTAAATCCTAATTGCATTACTAGACCACATTTTGTTCCATTATTCTGCAGTTGAAGGGCATGTACTTTCTCACCTTTTTATTATTGCAAAAAGTGTTGCTGTTGATATTTTGGTAAATATGAGGCCTCTCTTTATGTGCTTGACCTCCTTGGGGAATTTGGATGATGAGGTCAAAGGGCAGGAAGAATAGTAACTTTTCTTGCATAATTTAAATTGTTTTCTAGACTAGCTATACCAATTCACACTTCCCCCAAGAGTGTGTTAGTATGCATGTCTTCCCACGGCCCCTCCCACATTAACTTTTTTGATCTTTTATCATCTTTGTCAAGTTGATAGCTTTGTATATTAAAGCAATTGAATTTTATCAATCTGGAATTTTTTGTTAAGTCCTATGGTTTGTTTGTTTTTTTTTGTTAGTCAATGTCAAAGAAGATTTAAAAGTAAAACACTGATAATCAAATTATGGACTTATCTTTAACATACAGTATGCCTGTTATATTACTTTTCCTTAATTACATATTTTCCAAGAGCGTTTGTTGTAATCGTTTTTATTCAAATATGTTTTTTCTTTAGCCTTCCAGCATTGGTTCCATGGCTCTGACAGAAAGTGCTTTATGCCAGCATGGTTTATCAAAAGTTGTTTACAGTGGACCTCATCCTCAAAGAGAGATGTTAACGGCTCAGAATAGGTAAGATTGAGAAATAGAATTTGTTGCATGAAAGTCAGAGAATTATTTTACATTAGATTTACAATTCATAAACATATTGCATGCTATTAAACAGATTACTAATTGTATGTAAGAGAAAATTCGTCTTAAATCATTGATTGTGCTCTTGTTTCAGAATTCATCTGGAAAATATTAGTTTTAAATAATTGCAGTAGTTAAAGAAAATTAACACTAATTTTTAAGAGAATTTCAGTGTAGTATTTGTATATTACTATTTCTTCCTTGCCTTTATTTTTGAACACAGATATAAAGCATTATATAAATGCTAGCATTATTATTATTATTATTATTGTTAAATTGAAATTAAGATTTTGTGAAATCTTTTTTGTTTTCTATTTAGGTTTGAAGTGTTGACATTCCTTTTATTGTGTTACAATGCTGCCTTAACCTATATGCCCAATGTTTCTCTTCAATCGCTGTGTCAAATTTGTTCAAGGTAAATTAAATATCAGCTTTTACTTGATATACTTACGAACTTGTTATGTTTGCAATGATACCTTCCTTGTTATGCTTTTTCCAACACTTTAAAAATTAAAAGTTCCAAAAAGAAGAATAAATTTAGCTAAATAAAGAAAGCATTCCAGATATATAAATGAGTTGGCAGTGCTTAGCACAGTATCTAGCACATAGTAGGCTCTTAATAAATGTTGATTTGATTGAGTGATTGTCATATTCTCTTAGTAATTTTTTGGAGCCATATTTGTGCTTGTTAGGAGCCATGATATAAGTGAGAATGACGGGTAATGACTGAGTTTTTTTTTTTTTAAACTCTCCTGCCAATTAGAGGTCTATGGGGGTAAGAGTGGGGAGGATGCTTTTGGGAGCTATGCTTAGCATGGTGCTATAGTGGACACTTCATAAATGCTTGTTGATTTGTCTTGACCTGGAATCGGTGAAAGTACGTTTAAGGAGTTAGAGAATAATTTGGATCTTGGAAATTCTTTTGGAGGCAGTGGAGTGCTGGGAGCTAGCCAGAGGGGAGAAAGCATTGGCCAGCACTAAAATCCAGAGAAAGCAGACAAGGAATGGGAGGATTAGAGGAGAAGGCAGAGCGGGAAGTCAGCAGCCAAGAAAAACCAAACTTGACCTTGTTTTTCGATTCAGGCCTTAACTTTGATTACTCCTCAGCTAGAGCTTAATTATGTTTCCTATTCTTAAAAATGATACTGAAGTTATGTCCTTTGGCTTTCTTTACCAAATATGCCTTATGTCAGTATTTCTGAATTCCGTAGTTTTATCAGTATGGGAATTCATTGTAGCCATCACCTCTAACATAGTAGATAAGGAGAGTCAATTGTCTGTGGTTCTGAGAGTCTGTGATTTGTCCAGGGTCATAGGAGAGACTTTGAATTCAACTCTCTTGCCTCCAAATCCTTTACTCTGTCCCCATTCTGTGCTATATAGTAAGAGGAAAGCAGGTCAACAAATATACTCAGCATTGTATGAGTCTCCCCCCATCTGCTTCTTTGATTTTAAAGGACTTAGGGAATCCATTCTTGCCCCAGCTGTCTACCCAACCCAAACCCTCAGCAGTAGCACCCAGCACTTTTCCTCCCTGTTCCCTGTGTGTCCTGATTGTCCCTGCCCCAGTGCCTTTGTCATCCCGGTGCCTGAAATGCTTCCCTGAAGGCATAGCTAGAGTCCTCTTTGCTCTCCATGAATCTTCTCTGACAAGCTGGCCCCACTCCTTTGTGAGGTCTAGCTCGGGGCCGTGTTGCCTCTGCCGATCCTTTGGTTTGTTGTGAGAAAAAAGCCGGGATTCTGCTTTGGATGTCTGAGATCTCCAAAGGGGTGCAGACAGGACTACTCTTGACACTGTCTTTTGGCCTCGGGTTCAGAATCAGGCCACTTTCACATTGACACATAACAAAGGAGACCTTTTGGTGGGCTCTGCTGTTTTTCTGTATACAGCAGCCCAGTCTTTCACATCTGGCAAGTCCCAGGGAGGTGACGTTGGGCGTAGCGTTTGTGTGCCTAGGGCCTAGGGTAGTATTTGCCCCATGAGAAATGATTTGTAGAATGGGATTGATTGAAAGCTGCTCACTTAATGAAGGAAGTGTAGAAATAGAAGGATGAAGCCTCACTAACTCCCATGGGGTAGCTGGGGCAGGAGCTCTGTTGGAGAAGGAGGAGAGAATAAAAGACCAGAGGAGCAAAAAGAGACAGACGGCTTTTGCTTTGAAAATGCATCATCTTGGTGTCTTGACAAGCTCTGTTTCTCTTATCTGTGTCACAGATGAGCTGAATGTGTCTTAATTCTAAACGAATTTGTCAAATATGTAAGTAGAAAACTCATGTTAGCTGATGTCTTTGCTAGCTTGCTTGGAGAGCTGGTGAGCTGCTGACAGTGATGGCCGGGAGAGCCCGTTCTTCTCTTGAGGCTCAAATTAAGCTGGAAGTCCCATCTTGGAGCGTGCTGACGGGACTGCTGGACAGTCTTTCCAAAGGCTTTGTTTCCCTCCATGATTTCAGGATTTATTTTTGGAACTCTGTGTGGGAATTTAATGCAGAAATCAAGGGGCCATGATGCTCATGTTCCTTGTGAAAACAGGGTCTAATGTTGGCATTGAAGAAGTGGAGAATCAGGGAGCTGGAGGGGCCAAGCAGATTCCCAGGAAAATCCCCAAAAAGGATGCAAGGGGGTGCAAGGAAGAGACAATAGGATTCTTAGGAACTAGAAAGGAGAAATACAGAGAGGCAGCTTAGTGTTTGTTTAATAATGCCTCTAGGAAGCAAAATGTGATCATTTAAAGAAATGAGTTAACATTGATTTTAAAGTATTTTTTCGAGAAACACAAAAATCCAAGTGTATCTCCTGTAGTTTACTTAGCATAATATTAAGTAGAACATGTAAACAAGCCTCATGACTACATTTCTTTTTTCCCCTCATTTTATTTTATAATTAATTAATTTATTTTTAGTTTTCAACATTCACTTCCATAAGCTTTTGAATTTTAAAATTTCTCCCCCTCCCTTCCTGCCCCCCTCCCCAAGACAGCATGCAATCTGATATAGGCTCTACATATACATTCCTATTAAACATATCTTCACATTAGTCATGATGTAAAGAAGAATTAGAACCAATAGGAGGAACCACAAGAAAGAAGAAACAAAATAAAACAGAAGAAAAAAAAAACAAATAGTATGCTTTGATCTGCATTCAAACTCTATAGTTCTTTCTCTGGATGTGAATAGCATTTTCCATCATGAGACTATGACTACATTTCTGAAGAAAGGTTTTAGATACTCTGTACATTTCTACTTATATTTAATGATTACCAAAGGCTAGGAGAATAGAAATACATGAAGCCTTAATAATTCCATTGTGTGTCTTAGGAATCCTAGTGACCCTAAGAATGGAGCCAGGAGTACATCCATTATCATTCTTCTCCTCTCCTTCTCTTTTTCTTCTTCCTCCTCCTCCTTCTGTGGGAGCTTGTTAGGAAAAGATCTTATTCTGGGAAATGCCTGCATACAAACTTCATGATAACCACCCTTGCTCACTTCTCACCCTTGCTGAGAACAAGACGTAGTGTGGAACTGAAGGTGTTGACCTTACCAGTAGAGGGCACTTTGAACCTTCAGACTCTGCCTATTCATGGGAAATGAGGCAGTCATGGCCCAGCTGATTCATTAATTTGTGGTCATTGACATTGATCCCCATTTAGTTGATTTATCTGCAGTCAGAAGTATTGATCATTAAGTCCATCAGAATGATCAGATGAGCCATGCCAAGGGCAGGTTCCCCAACAACATGGTAAGATGGCCTTAGCTGGTACATCTACAAACACTCATATATGTATATATGCAAATATGTGGTTATTTATCTATTCATTTGAATTTGTCTAAGAAATAAACTTTTTTGGAAAACGTCACTATAAATTTTAAAAATCTGATGGAAATGTACTAAGTAAATGAGCTTATAAATGTTAAAGAATACATTAACGATTTCATTAACATAATATTTTGCTTTTTCTAGAATCTGCATTTGTGGATATCCTCGACAACATGTAAGAAAATACAAAGGTGTAAATAGCAGGATCCCAGTTTCTTCAGAATTCATGGTGCAAATGTTAACAGGAGTTTATTTTGCCTTGTAAGTTTATCCCATGTACAAATTATACAACTTTTGATCTTTTGGAAAAAATGTCATCACTTAATATAATCTATGGTGAATTAGATTATAGTACTAAGATAGAAAAGCCTCTTTCAATTACCTTCTTAGATTTACATTTTAAGTATTTTTATATAGATGGATATGGAATGAAGCTCTTGACAAAGCTTGCTTCAGCAAAGTTTTTTAGAATGTTTGAAAGATTATGTATGTCACTAAGAAATAGATTATAGCAATGTTAATATATTTTGTAATAGAAGAGAATTTTAAGCAAAGTCGAAATCTTGCTTCATTCAGGGATAAAATAAGACTTAGTAAGACTTAGATGAATGCCCATGTAACGCTTTTCTTCTCTTCCATCCCTCATTCACTTTACAAGTTTTCCACAAAATTGCATTGCTTTTTACATAGCTCTCTTGCTTCATGATCTTTTCTATAGCTTTCCAAAGCCTCTCTGATTATATAAGAAATTAAGAGCATAAATATTTTAGCATGCTTATAGAATGTTGTTTGTCATGATTATGTAAAGTAAGTGAATTTTTAGTTAGTTGGAATTTATCTAGCACAGAAATGCTTCATAAATGTTTGTTGAACAAAGGGATATTTGGATATTTGGCTAGCAGGAGGAAGTCAGATATTGTGCCGTTAGTATGGCAGTGGAAGTGAAAAATCTTATTCTTCTCTCTCTTCATTCCTTTCATCCTGCTGTGTCTAGGAAGATCTGTCATCTCCAGAATCACAATTAAGTCTGGACAGGGCTTTAGGAAAATGTATTGCTGTTAGGTTTCAGAAGTCTTCATTGATTTACTGAGAGCAATAATATTTTCTCAGGCTCAGGAGGGAACAAAAATGACGACTGCTCCATATTTCTGGAAGTTGAGAGGACAGCAAATCTTATTTACATGTTTCATGTGATCTGTAGAAGTATCTTCTGATCCACCCCAAGATAGGACAGTTGTCATTTATAATTACTCGTACCTTACATGAGAGCTGTATGTTGAGACCACTCATATGTTTGAGAGCAACCATCAGAACCAAGATTGCCTTTTGTACACCCTAGACAACATTTTGAAAACATATACCTCTTTTGTGTCACTGTCCCCTTGGGGCCTGGAGCCTTTATTGTAACATGTATACAAACATAACCTATGTCAGTCAATCAGATATTTATCAAGTACCTACTATGTCTATACATGACATACAAAATAGAATTTTCTGGCAATTAATATGTGCAATTATTTTAAAATCATCTTCCAAATTTACCTCCCCGGTATAGTCCTCTTCCCATGTATTACACCCTAGAGGGTTCTCTGCCTTGCCAGTTCCTGGTTCTAGCTGTTCCGCCCATTGATTCTGCCTCCCAGGTATTTACAAGCTAAGGCCACCTCCAAGACCCTGGGCCTTGCCTCACCTCCCAGAATCAGAGGTAATCAAACCTGAGCCTGAATAAGAATTCCTTCTTGCAGCCTCTCCAACAGTGTTTATCCAGCTTCTTCTTGAAGACCTCTAGTGCAGGAGGACCCCCCACCTCCTCAAACAACCCATCCCACCTTTGGGTGGCTCTCATTGTGGATGGGCTGAATCCTGTCTCTGAGTCCCTTCCCCTCACTGTTTCTGTCGCTCACTCCTAAAACTGAGAGAACCAATCTAGTCCTTAGGCAGTGGGACTGTGTTTCACATCTTCACAGTCTTCCTTCCCAGGTCTTGTGTGCATTGACTTCCAGCTGTAACGGGCAGGAACATTAGGTCTTCTAATTTAGAGAGACTGAAAGCAGACTTGTGTAGATGTGCTGATGTCTAAACACCCTAGACCGTCCTTCTCTGACCATTGTAAAGACTGAAGTGACCTCTGTGGGCTGCTGCTGTCCTCGGGTGCTGCCCTGTGGCTGTCTTTGGCGCTGCCTGGCTTCTCACTTTCATTAGTTTTCCTTCCAGCTGCAAACAGACTTAACCACAGAACACGTGAGGTTCTGCCAGTATATTTCACATACAAAAATACCAACCCAGGGGATCTGGCTACATAATAACCTGAGCATAAAGGAAAGGCCAGAAATTTTTAAGTCAAACAGAGGAAATTAAGCTTGTTTTTGTACCCCTAGATTGTTGTATGTTTATAGTGTTTTTAATACATAATTTGTCAGTCAGGCATCAAGTATTTGTTAAGGTCTCTTATGTGCCAAGCACTGTGCTAGGCACCTAGGGATACAAAGAAAATTTTAAAAAATCCCTGATCTCAGGGAGTGTACCATCTGATGGGGGAAACAACGTGCTCACAACTCCATACAAGCAAGCTCAGTACAACATCAGTGGAAAACAAGCTCCGTGGAGGGAAGGCCGTAAAGGGGCATGGGGAAAGGCTTCCTGGAGAAGGGGGGATTTCACCTGGTAATTGGTGGAAGGCAAGGAAGGCAGAGACTCAGGTGAGGAGGAAGAGAATACTGAAATTCATCATTTAGAAGGAAAAATACATTCAGCATCAACATTTTCTCTCAGAACCTATATCTTCAACCTGCTCCACAGTAGAGTTGAGGAAAACACAACTTTAGAAGTGGCCATCACTCCTGGGCCAACCACGTGGATACATTCCAAACAAATTACCGGACTGGGGCTGTGCCATCCTATGTTTCCTTGTGGCCTCCCTCACTCATCACACAGAACATTTCTGATCCCTGAGTGAAGATAGAGAACTTTTTAAAAAGTCTTTTTGTGAAAACTTTTCATCTTCCACATGGCTGCCAATGTACCATCCCTAAAGCCCAGGCCTAGCCACCTCCTCCTTCTTCTTGGAAGCTTAATTGGCTCCCTCTAGGATCAAATCTCAATTCTAAAGTTGGGCCTTTCGAGCCCTTTGCATCCTGTATCCAGCCTCCCTTTCTAGGCTCGCTGCCCACTCCTTCACATACTCGGCTTGTAGTCCAGCTGGCCCGCTGGCTGCTCCCTTCGCGGTATTCCATCCAGCATCTCATTCTTTGGCCCAGCGTGCACCTCCGGCCTAGAAATGCCTGCCTGCCTCCCTTGGCTTCTTCCCCTTCCCAAGCGCCACCTCCTCCAGGAGGCCTTTCCTGATTCGTTCATTCCAGTGTATCAGTGCTGCCTCTCTCCACCTGCCCTCCGAAATGACTTTGTGTTGCTTTTCTATGTATGTATTTATTGTTTGAGTCTCCAACAGAATGGAAGCTTAAGGCAGGGGAAAGTTCTTTCATGTTTGTCTCTTTGTCCCTATCAGCTAGCACAGTGTGTGGCACACAGTAACTGCTTAGTGAAAGCTGTTGAATGAATGAAGGCGCTTGCATCTAACTTCTGGGTGAAAATCCAAACACCAACTCTCATTGTTTTAACACATGGCCACGAAAAGAGATGAGGGCCATCAGGTTTACCCTCCAGTAGCAGCATCTCATTCCCTTCTGCTTTCAGTCCAGCTGCCGAGCCAGTCTGCTCCTGCGCTGCCTTCTAGGTGCCAGCTCCTGGATTTGGGTGCAGATAGTGGGCCTCTCTTATCCATTGTCCATCCTTATTGTTGGGCCTCTCATATCCATTGTCCATCCTAATCGTTGGGCCAGGCCAGGCTTGTGACAGCCTTGGTCCTGTCTCTGAAACGCCCCTTCATCTTCATGGGCTTCTCCTGATATCTCTGTAAGACTTGCAGCTTACATTTCATTAAAGTTGGAATAATTAGTCTATCCGTTAAAAGAGCGTCATGTACACTTCCTAAGGACTTTATCAGAATACTTAGGAATAAAAAGGCAAATGTTACAGGGCATATCCCATTAAATGCTGCAGGAGATGTATGGCAGTTTAACCAAACAGTGCTCTAAATGTTCATTCCAGGATATATAACTGACTACATTTTGTTCTACTTTGAAGTTGTACCTTGTTTATCTGACTGCCATTCTATAAATAGAAAAATATTCTTTAGGGAAAAAAGGTACATCCATAAATTTTTTTTGTATTAATATTCACAGGCTTCTTAATACATTAAAAAGGAATTCAAAGATTTAAAACTATTTCAGGGAGTGGAATGGAGAGGCAGTACACTAATCTGGTTAGGCATCGCTCTCATGGAAGATAAACGTTGTGATGTTTGATTGTGATTTTGTTTGTGTATATAGAGTTAATGAAGAAAGTTACACACTTTGGATTTAATTTTTGTAGTTATAATGGAGAATGGGATATGGCTCAGACGGCCCTGGAAGATGTCCTGTACCGAGCCCAGTTGGAATTGTATCCCGAACCGCTGCTGGTACGTGCTTCACAGCTCAGTCCACTCCAGCTGGACTCTGGGATTTCTCTGCTTTGAATTATGATAAGCAGTGGAGCCCGTGTTCACAACGTCTGAAACACTCTGCTAATTCTCAGTCATTTAGCACCTTGTCTTGCAGGGCAATGAATGGTTATGCATGAAAAGAAACTCCGTAATTGTTAAAGCGTCCTGAGACCATCGCTGGGCGCCCTCCTGGCTCTGTGATAAGTCATTACAGTCTGTCCATTCGTGTGTGTGATGTCCACAAGTATTGGCTTGTTAGTAGTTGGCATCTAACTTAATATATGGAAACTTTAACTTCATCTTTGTATGCTTGTGTCTTCTGGAGAGTATACATTTATTCCCTTATCCGTTTCCTTAAAAGCGTAATAGGAGTTTAAGTTGTATACACATTTATTTATTTCATGTTGATAATTTAAGTAATTTCTTTCCTCCTTAGGTTGCTAATGCAATAAAGACTTCATTGCCTGCGGTTGCCATGCAATCTAGTAAGGAGGGTAAAAGATGCATTCAGGTTGAAATTACACCAACTTCATCGCGAATATCCAGAAATGCTGTAACCAGCATGTCAATAAGAGGGCATAGATGGAAAAGACACGGTGAGGAGCGTGTGCTCTAACAAGAGTGTTGTTCATTGCGAAATACTAATAAGCCAGGTGATCTTTCCCTTATAGTGTTACTTCAGGGATGGAAATATGTAAGTAAATGGAACTTTGGTGACCTGGAAAGTGTTAATGACCCTCTAAGTATCGACTTAATTTATTATCAAAGCATGCCTCAGTCCCAAGGGAGAATTCACATGCCTGGTGCATACAGATGCTCTGCACAACATGTTAGTGAATGAAAATTAGCTTTGATTTATTTCTCAGACATTTTTATTTCAAATAGAAGAGGTGTAATTCAAATGGAAAAATGTAATTGCACTCATTCTATATTTTTGGCTTTTGTGCTTCTGTGAATGACTATGCACCGAATGTTGCTTAATAAAGGTTCTGATTGCTAAATGGCCAAGCCAGCAGGGAGGCGTAGGGGTTGAGACAGAACGAATAGCAGTGGTTTTATGGTTTTTTCCTTTTCCCTTGTTGAGGAATATCACAATATAACAACAGCTTCGAGCCTTTCTGTTTCTTTGGAATGAGATTTTTCTTTGTAAACTCTATCATTGTTTCAACAGTTCGTGACTTTCATCGTTTTAGATTTTGCTGGCGTTTGCTAGTGTTTCTTAGTGCTGTCTTCTCTACTTCTCTCCTCTTTCCTAACTCGTCCTTAATGGGTCTCCTCCTCCTCCTCCTCTTCATCAACCTTCCCCTCCCCCTTCCTCAAAGAGTGATCCCAGATTGGGAAAGGGAGCGGGACCTTCCTGGGGAGCAGCTTCCAATATGGAAGGGTCTATTTGGAGGCGGAGGAAAATGAAACAAAATCCATTTCCCCGCTCTCTTTCTGTTGACCAAGATAGTCCTAGTAGCTCCTGTTCTTGTCGGTGAGTCTGGTTTCAGCTGCTGCTTTGGTCTCTGGGACTGAGGGAAAATAAGCAAAGGAGACAAATGAGAAAACCAGGGGCTGCCCTTGGGGGTGAGCGAGGAGGTGGACAGTGATTGATAGACAAAACTTTGGAGCTTGATGAAGTGACCACTGAAGTAAAGAAGTTTTCTCTTTTCAGTGAATTCTTCCATAACTTAAACTCGTGCCCCAGACTTTGGAAAGCACTTCAAGAAAGGCATAAAAATGGTGATAATTCCCATTAGTAGGATATCGTTTGGTGATTTAAGACACATAAGCCATATGTGACTCTCTGTTTTAAAACATAGCAGTTACTCTTAGAGATTTGTCATTTTAGAAAACTATGCTACTGTCCTAAACACAGAGAGGAGTGAACAAAAGATGAAACCCACTTGATTGGAGATGATAGCCTATTGCAGATTGATTCGCTTGTTGCTGTAATCATCAGTAAGCGTAGCAATGGGTTCCTTCCGATCCATGCCAGCCACGGTGAGCTGCCCATCACAGAATCCACAAGGGCCTCGTTCTCCAGCAGATCAGCTGGAGATTCTACCGAAGGAACCAGCGGTAAAGAATCTTGTCTTTCCCTTCCAATTTCTTGTCTTGCCAAGATAAACAGAGAAGAAATCGTACCGCGATTGAAACTTTCCCAGGTGCTGAAAACCGGTGCCTGGATTCTCAGTGTTGCAAGAGACCCCAGAAGGCGGCTAATCCGATGCTTACCCTTCCTGACGTGTGCTCAGCAAGCCCATGGCTCCCATGGGGACAGGGAGCTCCCTACCTTCCTAGGCAGCCCTGGTCCGTTGCTGGAGAGGCTGCCATCACTGTAATTGCCCCTTTTGGGTCTGCTGCTCTTCTGTGGGATCGAGTAAAGTACGACTGGTTCTTTTGTCCACATGCCATCCCTCCAGGCATTTCTAAGCTAGAAGTGTGTTTCCCCACTAAGTTTTTTCTTCTCTAGGCTAAACATCTCCTTTATTAAAAAAAAAAAAAAAGTAACCAGAAAATTCAAACCCAGCCATATGTGTAGAAAATATATTCAAAGTAAATGAGAATCATAGTTCACAAAATGTATTTTTTGCAAGCATAATCCTAAACTTTTTCTTAAGAGAAGAGATTGCTCTATCAATCACCTTACCATTTATGTTTTTGGTTCTATCATTAGATCTGGATTGATCCTGTTTTGGGCTAGCAGGTGCCTTGTCAAACTCATTGTCAATTCTTGGGGGGCTCTTTCTTAGGCTGTGGCCTAAGAAAAAAGCCTTGGTTTTCCCCCATACCCTTCTTGCTTTTAATTGGTCACTCCCTGCAACCGAAGCCCAAAGGTGAGTCTTCTTAACTGTGACAGTCTTACTGATGAAAATCTCTGAGGGTCCATGTTATATACAGCCAAGGGGACTTCAGTCCCACAAAGTAGAACCAGAGTCCAGTTTTGTCCCACTGTGGCTAGCTCATTGTTTGGGACCTAGGAAGTGCTTTATCAGTGAGTGCTTGCCTGACCTTGGGGTCCGGATTCTCCTCTTCGAGCCCCTTGTCCATTGTATCCAGGACCTTTTCCTCTGATTGCTCAGGCACTCTGTGCTATTCCTCTTTGGGTACAGTATTGACTTTATTTCCCTTTGTCTCTTTTGGTCCCCAAGTTCTGCTGAACTAAAAATGTTGATCCCTCCGTAGCCTTTATGTCTGTGGTCTGAAGGATAGGGACCAGAAGCTCCAGCCTAGGGAGCTAGGGTGACTAGTTAGGAAGTTAAAGGATGCCCTCTTTCCTTCTGGCTCTCCCTCTTTCTTCTTCCCCATCTGCCACTTTTTCCTCTTCTTATTTCTTCTCCTTCTTCCCCTTCCCTTCTCTTCTACTACCCCATTCTGACAGTCTACCCATTGCTACCCATTTGAGGATGTAAGGTGAGAAGTGGGTGAGCAGGGGTGGGGGCGTAGCAGGGGCAAAGTTTCCAGGCAGAAAGGATGGGGGGAGGGGAGAGCAAGGGGAAAGAAGGAAGAGAGAAAAGGAGATTTCCCTCTGAAAAGAGACCTTGGGGCTGGCATCAGAGACTGTCTCTCCATAGAAACAGACCCACAAAAGATTGCCCTACACTTGGGGCATGATACAGAGGGGTGTATTACTTCAGACCGTTTTCAGTGACTGAAAATACACTTATTATTATGGCTTCTGAAAATTTACTTAAGTCTTAACCATCTAAACTATATTCCTATGAATTATCTTAATTTATGAACATTTAAAAACACGTTCTGGAACTAAGTTAAGACCTGGGCATCTTTAGGAATGTAATCACTTGAACAATGTCTCTGCAAGGAAAGTGTGTCTACGACTACCCAAAAGCCTTTTTTATAGCACATGTCGTGAAGTGCTGAAGTTTTAATGTTGTTTCTTAGCTTCCAGTTCTTGGGGAAGTTTTTATTACTGTTACTCACATCTCTGCATTTCACTTTCCTAATGTTACCTTTTGTCTCACTCCATTCTCTGACCACGTGTGTCCTGCCCCTCACTTTCCAGTCCTGACTGCCAGGCAAGTGGCATTAGATACAGTGGAAGCCATCTGACCAGACGTGTGTGTGTGTGTGTGTGTGTGTGTGTGTGTGTGTGTGTGTGTAGGTGGGTGGGTGTTTTCATATATTCATTCTATGGAGATAGCTTTTGGGGATTGGGGGTCACATGACAGGAAATTTAACTAGTCTTCAGAATATTTCACTTTTCAACCAGTGTTGTTTGGACACAATTATTCAGTCTTGTTTTTTAAAACTTTTCTTTTTAATTTGAAGATTTGAGAAGTTATTTAAAATGTAATAATTTTCTTTCGGTGCAGATGTTTTCAGAATAGCATTAGAACATGGAGTGGTCATTTTTACCTCTCAATGACAGTTTAAGAATTATCTCTATTTATTACTGACACTTTTCAGTTTGTATTATTTCTTCAAGGGTGGAGAAGATGGCTCAGGGGAAGGAGGAAACATTCCAGGCGAGGGAGTAACCCGGCCCAGCTGTTTCCAAGGCTGGGCCGGTTCTAGATGGGAGGGAGACCGGAAGGGGGAAAGGCAGAATATGAAGGTGAGAAAGGGTTGAGGGAAGGGGAAAGACCGAAGAAAAGAAGCATTAAATAAGGTAAGATTTGGTGTTCTAGGTTAGGAGAGAGAAGAGAGGAACAAAAGCTGTGGTGCTGATGCCAAGTGAGATGGCGTTCAGCTTGGTGAAGCCCTGCCCCCTCCCCTGGGCAGTCCCAGATGTCACTCCCAAAGCCTTTCTCACTCACCTTTCAATCCTGAAGCGACAACTTGCCATCTTTTGCATTGAATACCTCTCACTCTCAGTTTCCAGCAGATCCACATAAGTTAACCTCATTCATCTTCTGCCCCTTTGTGCTCCCAGCCTTTCTTGGCCACTCATTTCTGTGCTCTCTGTGTGGCTTCCTCATTCCGTCCCCTAGTCCTGCTCCCTGTGCCTGTAGTGCTCTAGGTATCTTTCTTTCTGTCTTTGAAAATATTTTCAAAAAAATATTTAAGTGTCAAAATTATGGTTTGCCTTAGTTAAGGTATATTTACAAACGATTGGTTGTTTTTTACTAGATTATTCTCCAGCCAAAGGATTCACTTAGTAAATAAATGGGACTCCAAATCTTTATGATTATTCACTCTTTTTTGTAACTTGGATGCTTATGTCAGTATTGAGGTTGCAGTGTGTCAGTCTCTCTAGGGACTGACTTTGCTTTGCTTAGGTGTGCCTTGGTTTTTGCAGTGTCATTATTCCTGTGAGATCATATATAAATCAGATTTTTAGAAATCAAGTCTCATTTTGAAACCATTGGAGGAGCTTACTTTTTAAAGTGATCTTATGGTAAATCGTTTTGTAAGACAAAAAAAATTTTTTAATGTTTTTCTTTGTAATTTTGGATGTTTATACATTGAATTTACTTAAAGTAGCAAACATAAGGATTATTTAGCCCAGTACCATGCATGACAGTAGGACTGTCATTTGATGGTAGTGATCTATTGGGTAAGAAGTATGTTTGCAGCTCTGAAGGAGATAGTCTTCTTAATGTTATTATCTAATATTTGTTACAATGCCGAGCTTGGTGACTTTTCAGAA